AACTGATTCAAAGAGAAAGTGAAAATTATTGGAGCGATCACCGTGCAGTGTTATTGGGGAATTATTGTGGCGTTATTCAAACAATTATTGAAATTGTTCTCGTGGGGTTATTGAAGAGAAACCACGGAGGTTATTAGAGTGGTTCATCGAGCGAAGTTTATGAGGTGGGCCCGGTGTAGCACACGTGACGACATATTACTGGAGTCTGCACATATAGCTGCGTACTGGCTCTACTTGGAAAAATTTTTCTTAAACTAGAGACGGTCCTTTTTTTTGGTCAAATGTTATTCATTTATTTTTAATTACTAATTTTCTCAGGCTATATTAATTAGTCAAATTGAAGCTTAGATGGAAGAGGTAAATCATGCCATAATTCAAAATTTTGCCTTGATAGAACTCTTTTGTGGCACATTGGCACTTCATGAATTCAGTAGAGCTTTTGAACTCTAAAGTTGGAGCATATGTAGGTATCTATCAACTTCATCTTGCCAAATAAGACAAAAAATAATAGATGGCATGGAACATGATTAAAATTACAAGTCAATTATTCTGAATAATAAATATGAGATATAAATTAACTTTAATTTATTTGATCATGTTATAAAACGACATTGTATATCCTCAAGAGCCGTGCCAGCAGCAGGTGGGGGAGTAGGTGTGGTCCGTGTGGAAGCAGCAGACGTCACAGGAGACATGGCAACATCGGGTGCCGGAGTAGGTCCCATATAAGGGGGTGGCAGTAATAGGGGCAGCAGGAGGTGCCGCAAGAGGTGTAGCAGCAACCGATGGGGAAGGAGATGCCATAGAGATGTAGCAAAAACAAGTGAGGAGGAGGTGCATTAGTAGTGGAAACATCAACAAGAGTAGACGACTTTCTCTTCCAGCTATAGTAAATGGTCTCAAGGGTCCCCAGAACACAGGGTCTATTAGGTGGCTGACCATTTGTACCATTTGTGACCATCTACAAACAAAGGAATTACATTAAAAATGTAGTACTGGTGGGAAAATAATCGTAAGCAGAAAGAAACGGTGCAGTAAATGTAAGACACAAGCAACATACATGTCTAAAAACAGAAAAAAAAGAGAGTAAGCATTATGTTTCAATACAACAAAAGTAAAAGACAAAAAGTAGCAGTAGTAACAACTAATTTAAAATTTATGTACCTACATTATTAAGTTTCATCAGAAGAACTTGCCGAACTTAAAATTTCTTCTTCACTCTCTTCATCATTCTCATCCAAACCATGAGGAACCTCTTAAAAAATCCTTGTGGTATTATCTAGCTCAAATATTTCAACATTTGTGCCACCCTGAATACAAAATATAGACATACATTCCTCTTGGTCAATTAGTTTTATAGAACTATGCAGCTCAATAGTTTTATTTGGTTTATTCTTCACAAGCACGACCCAATCAACTTTATCTCATACTCTCTTAGGGTATTGAAGGCTATAAATCTACGTATTTGCCGTTCCATAACAAAGGATCAAATTTTACATATCGTCTGTTTAATTTGACAACAGCGATATCATAAGGAATGAGTGTTCGAGTTCCTCAATTAGAAACAAGATCAAACCATTGACGGTTGAACAAGTATACAATGTAGTTGGCATTACCTGGATATTCAATTGAATGACTTCATCAAGTACATCGTAATAGTAAATGTCGCTATCTGTGTGTGTGTTTCCTTTAATAACGACACCACAATTATATGTCGTCTTCCCTTCATAACAGGGGCCTGTATGACATGTATAACCATTTACATCAAATATCTACCATGTAGTAGCACTACGATTAGGTACATAGGCAAGATTTACCAATCTTCGATCCGTGATTTTGTTAGTTGTATCGTGAACCTATAACAAATAGAGAGGTACCATCAATGTAACTATAAATGCGACGATCATATTACACACATGTGATTAGAATGGTTCATTATATGTACGTACACTTTGAACCATCTTGGAATTTCTACTTCGACCATCCTACTTATCAGAGACTCATCTTCTATGTCCAAGTTGTCGAAAAATAATCTGTTTACAATTTTTTTTTGAATCAGTCAGTATGTAACTAACATTCTCAATAATAAAATGACAATATGTATTGAGTTTGGGAACTGTGAATACTCTTACTATTTAAATGACTGGACTTTGTGACAATTCATCAGGACGTACAATACACTACCTGAATTTTTGTATCGATTAGATATCGTGTCTCATGCCTCCTTAATGGCTCATTTGATATCTAATATAAGGATAATTCTAGTTGTGGAAGCATGTCACCTATAGTATATACTCTTTAATGGATTTGCTCAAAATAATATGAGCAGAAAGTTATCGTCTTCTGCAATAGATATGCTTTGCAGATCGATTCCTCATGATGTACTTTATTTCAAATAGTTTTTTTGATTTTATTTAAAAAAAATGTACCACATAACATTTACATTAAATATGGTGGTCATTTAGTGTGAATTAAAATGCAACTTGCAATGTATGCTTTAGGAAGGCATACCTATCTAAGGGATACATCCATCTATATTGCATTGTACCTCCAATATAGCCTCGTAACATAGATGTGTAGGCAGATGCTCCATAGTGTCTAAGAAATTAGAAGAAAATATCCGTTCAAACTTACATCATAATAGGGGAACCCTCACATCAAAATGTCTCAACGAGTCAACAGTCAGTGCCCCCGCACACAACTCTCTAAAGAATATACTGACTTCTATCGAGGGATAGAGCACTAGCTTTGGTAACACATGAAATACACTGATTAATAAGCATTGCATAAATATATGGCAGTTGTGACTATTCATGTCAAACACCTTACTCGCTCTCAATTCCAAATAATGGCTAAAATTTAAAACACAACCCTCATGAAACTTCAGCGAATTCACCCACTCAAAAATTGTCTTCTGTTGATCTGGAGTAAGACGATATGAAACTTTAGGCTTTATTAATTTAGCTTCATTTGTCTTTTGAAGCTCTAAGGTCCTCCATTTGCAACACTCTTTTAGGTCCATTATAGCTTTGAAATTATCTTTAGTCCTACTATTGATATCCATCACAGTGTTGATGTCGTTCTAAAAAAAATTCTTTTCAACAAGCATAACATCAAGATTATGTCTAATAAGATTATTCTTCCAGTACGAAAGATCACAAAATATATTACGCTTCATCTAGTTATGCGTGACAACAAAATCAGGAAGACAAATTGAAGCTAACTCTGGTCTCATGGTGATCTTCGACATTTCACTAATCATCTCCAATATTTCAACTTCAGTAATCCTCGTGGGTGCACTTGATCTCTCAACACTGCTTTTGAAGAATGTATATCTGTTCCTTCTAAATGAGTGATCACGGTTTAGAAATCTTCACTTGCAGTTGATCTTGTTGTTTTTCCTGCAATGTTTTTAGAGTAAATGCCTTTGATATATCATGCAGTATGGCCAAACCAATTTCCCAGTTATGCTCCAACAATCTAGCATTCCAAAGGCTAGAAAATCATTAATTGTCCACATAAGAACCACTCTTAGTTGAAAATTTTGCTTGGTAGCAATGTTTGTAAGTAGACGTCTATTTTACCTTTTGGACTAAGCGGACCCAGTATGATTAACATCAGAATAAGAATGACGTGGTCTTCCATATCAAGGAGCAAAATTGTTGGCATAATGATCACTGGTTAGTATGAGTATGAGGTTGCAGCGTAACTATACGACGTGAAACCATCCGCACATAACCAAAGTCTAACATTGCATACTTCTTCTATAAAATCCTGCTAAGTACAGTGAAAATGTCTCAAGGCATCGCCATGTGATGGATGAATCTTTGAGTTAGCATCAACAAATTCAATATTATGTGGGGTTGTACCCATGGAAGTGAACAATTTTTGAAGTTGGGGCATGAGCAAATAAATTAAAGAGACGCTCATATAAAGTATTTTTTTTTTATTATTTTACCCCTTTTGTTTGAATCTATTCACACCACTGTCGGCGCTATTTTTGGTATGGGGTTTGCCTGTAAGAAGCTGTCGGTCATCGGAATTGAAATCCCGTCGCCCGCTTCGGAAGGACGTTTAAAAAAATTTAGTTTTGAAAAAGATGAAGTCAAACTGACCCCATAATTTTCATAGTTTAGATGAAAGAGCACTTTATCTCAAATCCTGTATCTATCCCAAAGGATGAACACAAGAATTGAGGGTGAGGCTCGATCAAATAAACTAAAGAA